CCTGTGTAGCAGCTATTGCAAACTGCAGTGCCTTGTTTGCATCTTGTTTGTGTTCAGCCGGTGTATCTGTCAGTTATCTGGCACGTGTTGTTTTACGTCCATGTTTCTAATTGACAAGTTGAAAGCTGTTGCCCCCCCCCCATGTCCTTAATCCTCCCCCCCAGCATTAATTAAACATCCCTCCCCTCTTCTAATTAACAGAGCATTACGAGTGCAACAAAATAAATCAGCACTCCGCATACATGCAACTGATAATGTATTCCAAAGTACTTATCAGGCAACACAATTCTCCTCTATCTTCTTCATGTAATTAGACACTGATCAAAGTATTGCTTGATTTGATATGATGCAAAAAACTGATTTACTGTATAAATTTAAAAAGAAATGCATGTCTGGGCTATACTTAGTCAATTAGAAGAATGTGAAAAATGCCAACAACTTTCAAATGATGAAGTAAACGAAGCATGAACCCTCAGGGAAAAAAAATTCCATTTGCTTTTGTGGCCTCTGGTGTTGCATCAAAGTATTTGGAAACTTGTCAAAAACTTCTTTCTGCTGGTCGACATTTGGTTTTGAAGAAAAGTTATTTTTAACACCACAGAGATCAGAGGCAGAAACTCCTTCCATCTTCCGCTCCAATGATAGCTTTGCTGGATCATTTTTGTAATTTTGAGTGTTTTGCGTAGGTGGGGAACTTTCAAACACACAAGCATGCAAACACACGCATCTTCTTAAGTGCTAGGCTCTGCTTTACAGCTGTAGATTTCTAGCCTTAAACCATGAAAGAAATGTCCCTTTCTTTCATTGTTCCACCTCTTCCTGGGTGGCTCACCTGCAATTTTGTTCAGACATCTTTTAATGATATGCTAAGATGGAATTTGTGTTTGTGTTGTTTGGCACATGTTCAGCATGTATATGTTTTGATCCTTCATTCACCAATGTATTTACCTTGTGTTTCTTTCAATTACACGCGTACAAGTTTCCAGCAAATTCCCCAGTTCATCTATAATGGATCAAGGGGATGCTCTTGCTGCTAGTATCACCTCGGTAAGCGGCCCTCAAACAGCCCGCCATATCCTGGCACTTGTCCCAGCGAGAGGAATGGGGACCCCCATGACATAGATGGGGAGCTCAGGCAACACCGAGCTGCTCAAATATTGATCAGTGGGGCTGTCTTTGAAATGGTTAGTCTCAGCCAGCCAGTCGCCCGTGGGACTCGGTGGTAGGTGGAAAAGGCCACACAACTAAGAGGGAAATAACTCGCAGGCTTGTCTGACTCGATACACATTCCGTTGGTAGATGATGCCGCTTCTATCACAGCAGAAGTCCTCGGAGAGAGCATCACCTTCGTATTGACGTTCTGCTCAGCTCTGCTTGATGGCTCATCCCTGAGGATGGACCCGGGTGGATGGTTGATCAGTAGGGGTCGATAAGCCATACAAGACCTTTCTGTCTGATTTCAGTGTTGTTATACAGCATGCCACATAGACACTGTCATACTAAAAGAAATCAAAGACATTCGTAAAACTGAAAGTGACCTTGAGGATTGTCACTAAGCCATTCTAAAACTTAGAGGGTCGTGCTCCATGGAGATGAATGAGCAACTGTTTTGGCACCTTGCTGAGCTTATAATTACTCTGAACTTTTTGATGAGCTCTAACTTTTACTTCACCTATGCGGCCCAGATGCCGTTGCCAATCTCGCTGTAGCCTACTCCTATCCATACTCTCAAATCCTATTTGGATGACTGCCACTGATTCCCTGCACGTCAACACAGCGTCAGGTGTGTGGCTGCATTTCGTCTCATCCCTTGCCCAACTTGAGTTTTCATCCTCATGACTGCAGGCTGCTGAGTGGCGACGGCTGGGCGAACATCACGGTTCTGCCAGGATCCTGACACGGCTGCAGATGCACAGAGTGACACGAGGTCCCCTCACCCCGCTGGCAGGGGCCGCAGCCTGGCCATCTGGTGCCTCCAGAGCAGGTGCCAGTCACACATCACACCCGCCCGCTTTCCTACATGCAAGAAACAGCCCTCCGCTGAGGCCTTCGGACCAGCTTCTCAGATCCAGCTCCTATCTCCTCACCTCCCTTTCGCCAACAGTGAGTTATCTCCTGCCCAGAACTGAGCCACGGGACATCAAAGAGCCAACACACTGAAGAATCCAGACCACATACACCACTGGGAGCTAGTCGTTTGGCTCGTGCAGAAAAAAACAAGGATGTTCAGAATAAGTGATGTGCGCTTAGACAGATTGTCACTTTGCATGTTCGAAACAAAGAGGAATGTCGGGGGAACGCGCTACCAGGCAACCAGTCATTTTGTCTTGTCTGTTCAGAGCAAACCGTTGAAGAGGAATAGATGTGTCGCCAGGGCAGACAAGCTCTTGTAGAAAGCCTCATCAATCCTTCCTCTGTCAATCAATGTTGGGCTGAAAGAAATCTCCCGGTCGAAGCAGCTGGGAACAGAAAATGAAGGCGCTGATTTGACTGATGACATTTCAGTGGACATTAGCACTTTAGCCGCCTTTCAGTAAAGCCCATCAATATGAGCGCCTCCTTCTTATAGACAGGCAGCACTTTGTTTCAGCCTCTTTTTTTCTGTCTTTCATTTCATTAACTCAGATGTCGGCTGAAATAAGCAGCTGTTATTTGTTTGTTTGCTTGCTGACATTTCCTTTGACATGGACAATGCATCAGAGCGGCCGTAATCTCTGCCCATCTTCTTGAAAGGAGGCGCTGCTCGAGATTTGACATGCGTTGCTGCTTCATCCATTACCAAAGCAGCTTGTCACAAAATCGTTGATTGCAGTGGAGAAAACCAAATGAAACTCCTTCAAATGTGGACGGATGATCTGCATAGAAAGGCTCAGATTATTCAGTTTGTGGATTCAAACAAGATACTCATGTTTCCATTTCTAAAGGTCCTTTTGAAAGCCGATCGCATACTGTAGCTACTACTCGTGCCATTCATTGCTATGCTTAATAAGACGCTCGCTTAGAAGTCTCCCAGCCACATCAAAACTTTTAAACAAACTCATTTACGGACAGATTGTAAACCAAGTCTGTCTGTTACACTCGGTGGCGTGTTTTGGGGTTGCGGGGAAGAGGTTGACATGAAGACAGATGTTGTTTGGGCTATGTAAATGCTGGACTTGTTTAAGGGGTGAGCAGGAAGACAAAATGATAAATGTGTGTCAGAATACCTCATCCCACAGACGTTTTCCTGGCTGGGGGGGGGCTTGCTTCCTTGTGCTGTTTTCAAAGGGGCTGAACCGTGCCATTATGCACGTTTTGCAAACCGCAGCTGCTCTTATCTGAGAAGTCCTAAGCACTTCCAGAGGTCCTATCTATTTTAGTGTCAGTGGTTTAATCATAAACCAGTGATGTCCTTGTGGTCAGTGGCGATCTAAGCTCCAGATGAGACTCTGTTGTCGACGCTTTTTCAACGCTTTTTTTTTTACTCATGTGCTGCATTATTATTACATTATTAAAGGGTTATGCTTTTTTGTCTCAAACTCACTAGATGAACATCGTAAAGCCCTTCAATGGCTTCACCACACACGCATACAGACGCAGAAGCCTCCCCCCACCATGCTCAGCAGAAAGCTCATAGAGATACCAGCATTCCAGTGCGCATTACTATCTTCATCTTTCTGCTGCTCTAACACCCTGTGTATCTAACTCGCTCTCCACAGATAAAGAGAAGGGGACCTTATGCACACACACATACCAACACAGCAATAAATGTCAAATCACCCCCCCACCCCGTCCTCCCTCTTAGATAAAGGCAAGCATAGATGAAAGCCCCTAAGAAAATTACATTGCATTTAAAATATAACAGGGCAACACATTTATTGTGTTTGATAGCATCTGCATGAAGAGGACAATAGAGGGACACAAGGAGGGCTCAAGAGGGACATTCACGGCAAAAATGCATTACTCCAGAAGGAGGAGTACAAACACACCGCTTGATTCATCACGCCAGCACAGTCTGTGCTTCCGAACCCTTCAATCGGAGGAAAAATGTAATCTTGCTACAGTCTGGAGTGCGTTTGCATCATTCAGAAAACACTCGGCCCAACTGGCTAATGTGGAACAGTCAGGGCGATTTAAGGATTTCGCAGCTCAAGGAGTGCTTCAAAGTCGGGACAGGTTGAGCCGCCAGAGTGGGAGGTGTTGAAAAGTTGATAAGAGTTTGCCATCACTTGGGGAAAATATTCATCTGCGTCTGATTATATGCTTCGATTCAGTGTTCCAGCTCCAAACCACCACGGTAAAACAGTTTTTCCCATTTTTGGCCATATATGAGAAAGAAAAAAATATCTGAATGAATGGAGAAGTTCGGCAGCTATGCACTGTGAAATTCAGATGGCAGCGAAAGGAGCTCTTCTCTGTTCATTACTCTTGCTCTGATTCATAACTCTCTTAATAAAGGCTCTTAACACGAGCGGAAAGAAAAGAAACAAAAAGCAGAGGTTTGTGTAGTGGAGAGAGACTTCATGAATCACCCTGACGCAGAGCCCGCCCCCCATGTGTAGTTTATGGAGCGTTAAGCTTTTAGGTTGAGGAAACACTGAAGGGCAACGTTTTTGCAAGTCAGCCAAGTTATTATCTTATCAGATGTGATTTGTGTGTTTGCGTCTGGTAGAACTTATTAAACGCTGTCAAGTCTTAATGAAAAGTGAGGAAGAAAAACGGTCTTATGTATAAATCTTCCATCTCTAAGGGACATTTGTTTTAAATATAAAATATGCACCAGCACATGCATCCCTACTTTTAAAAATATTACTTGTTTAAGATTATTCTTGTTGGTTATATTATAAGACTCATATCTCATTATTGTAGAGTGGCAGATGAATTGATCTGTCACTAAACATACAATTGAACAACAAGTGTTATTCAAAAGGAGTAGTTCGATATTTTGTGGAAAAAACATGCATGTTTATTTTTGGTTTGTGGTTTTATGGGAGTTTTGTTTTGTGGTATTTCCTGTCCAGGTGCGGTGACTTCCTGTGACTTCGCTCCTGGTTTCCTGGCAACCTCACTGTGACGAGGAACCTTGAGCCTTAAGGAAGTTGTTTAGCCAACTAACATTCTGCTGGCCTTATGTTTAAAGCAAATATATCTATTACAAGGTACATATCATCTCATCTTACTCTCAACTTGTATTACAAATCAATAATGCCAAATATGTACTGGTCCATGCCTCTCAAATGTGAAGACTTCCTGCTGTCCTTTGTTTTTAAATGATTGTCATTTTAATATATTTTGCTGTTCAACATAAATATGACTCTTTCACCATTCCATATATTCCTTAGTCCCATTGATGTGTTGCTTATTGATAGGCTTGTGTTTGAAGCAGTGGATCTTAAAGACTTAACACATTGTTCTAGGAGCTCTTATTACCACACATTATCTCGATTGTGTGTGAGTGAAAACGTCTTCCTTATTTGTGTGTACCTGTGCCTCCTCACCTTAATCCCTCTCTGTGATCTTCGGGAGAGGATTATAGTCTCATTTCTGTTTATATCTGTTTTTTAAGCAGGTATCTGAGCTTGTGTTTTTCACACTTTTACAATAGACAGTGAAATTTGCAGTGTGAGGTTGAAAATGAAGAATATAACTAGCTGGTTTTGTAGAAGGAAATGTGTCTTTTTGGTAAGCCTTTACTTAAAAACAACTAGCTGAATTTCAAATTATTTACAACATTTCATTGTGGCGGAGATGGGAAGCTGATTTACAGCCATGTGAAATGTACAGCTTGTTATCACAGCTATAACCTGAAATACAGAGCGTACTGGAAAAACACACACATTCTTTCTCCCTACTTTTAACTCCCTTATGATGCATGTTCTCTGCTGAATTTTCTTTGGCTTCACACTGTCTCTGCAGATGTGAAATACTATGAGACACTGACCAGATAACCATTCATACACTCATTTATATTCTCTCTGTATACTCCGCTGTACACCCAGACATAGCTCACATATTTAGGAGCGTACTGCTTCAAATTCCAAAAAAAGCATTAGGTAGTGCAAAAATAATAATACAAACACAATGTGAGTAGGGACAATATGGAATATATTATTGATTCCAATCACATCAAACACATACAAATAAAGGAGGCCATTTTGTTCCCAATTTCTGAGACTGACAAGATGCAGGGGGAACAATATCTGCCTCTGTCTGATTGAAATTGTTGGAGGTTCCAGAAAAGGCTAACTTGATTGATGATGATGATACATAAGAGCATTTTATGTTCTTCCTCCTCTATGTTTAGATTCAGATAAGTAGAAGTACCTAATCAAGGTTTGGAAACTTTAGTAGTCATAGTTAAAAGAAACTATGGCTTGGGAATGTAGAGAAAATATAATATCCTTTTTTTTTCTTCAAATACCTCTATCGCGATGAGGACCATATTGTAGAGTTGACTATAGGTGAAGATTTTTTATAAATAATCATCAGTGGTGTGTTTTTAATTACTGAAAAAGTTAAGGGCGATTATTAGAATAGACTAGGTTCATCCAGTAACATCATTTTAATCTGAAAACTTGGACGACATCTAGTCCCCTATCATGAGATCCCTTAAAGAAACCACTGGTGATCTTTATCAACAACAGTTCCACCTTTATAGACCACAGAATGTCACCAAAGCTTTTCAGGTACAACCAAAGAAAAGTAGCCTACAAAGGGAAATCACACATTACCCACTAAATTGTGTAAGCGTCTGAAAAGCCTGCTAAATGTTCAGAAATGTGCACAAAGTACACACTGCTATCCAGAAGAAACTCTCCCAACAACAACAAAACATGGTCTTTGTCATCACAAACACAGGTCATTTCCTGACCGGGATACTTTTGTGCTGTCACAATCATATTTTGATTGAGATAAAAAAAAAGTGATCATAAATACAATTGTTTGCCCAGCACCCTGCCAATGGGTGACTGTGGGTGTAACAGCAATCAGCTAAGAGTCTTTGGAGGGTTGTGTTCCTCAAAATCAGTTAGCTTATCACTTTCATCCCTTTGTACGGCAAAAACAACATCTGCAGAAAACGCACTTGGCAATCAGCTTTTTATAGCTCCGTCTCTTAAATAGCCAATTAGCTCTTTGTTTTGCCTGCGTTGTGTATCAACTAAGACAGGAGTCAATTTGGTTTTCCATTTCTATCATCAGCAGCAGTCAAGAAACAATTGATTGAGCGCGGTGAATGAGTCACTTTGAATCATGATATTGTACTCATAGATACCATGAATAAACATCAGTAGTAAACACAAAGAGGGTGGTCTCTCCTCTTGCTGTTTCTTGCCTCGTAGTATTTTAATTCTCACCTATTAAAATGCATAATCTCCTTTACCTCTTCACGCCGGCGGAGAACAATTGCAGCCTGAGAGCTGTCTATTGTATCAACAGTATGATAGCTTGTAAAAAAGGCCTAATTACTACCTGCTGGATATGATGAGGAATAATTAGCTGGAACTTGGAGAGCCACAGTCGACAAGCTTCCAAGGAGCATAGTAAGGCCCATTAATGGAGTGAAATAAATGTATTATCTCTGATTTTCTGTCAGTTGGATGTTATAAAAGCACATTTTATCAGCTGCCTTTATTTCTCAAGTGTAGCACTAAACAAAACACTTGGAAAACAGTTTTACTCTTTCTTAAATTGTTGTGCAAAATACGTTCTATTATGAAGCAAGTGAAAAAAAGAGATAAAAGGCAATAATGGGAGCGCTAAAAAAAACACTTCAGATAATTGCCAAAGCTCCCCGCTAAGAGTCACGTTTAACAAGGTGCCATCCTCAGCCTCATGGTAAACTACTGGGTCCAGCTGAGAGTTGACACTTGACCCCCCCCCCCCCCCCCCCCCCCCCCCAACACAGCCTCAACACTGAGTCATTAGACAGCTATGCACACCTCCTCAATCTGCAACGGAGAGTAAAGAGCTTTTAGAGCTTCACACTCTGGGTCAAAGTTTAATCCAAGCCAGTGTTGTTTAAAAAAAAAGTGCCGCACTCCCTGCTGCTCCGTGAAACATTCCTGCTTCTCAGGATGACCGAAGACTGCCGTGGACCATTAGCATTGGACAAAGGAGGCAGGTGCATGTTGTATTCCCATGCATGTACAGTCCCTGTCAACAACTCTGGAAGACTTGTCAAGATGTTCGTCACTTAGGAGAAACCTCTTTTCCCTCCCTCGCTACAGTTTCCCAGATTCTGTCACACTTTCACCTCTGTGTTTGACGGATGTAGTGTGGTTATAAATGTATGTCAGTGTGTGGCCAACTATTTGTTTTCCCTCTGTGCATGTGAGTTTCAACCGTATTACCCGAAACATTACAGATAGCTTCATAATTCAGCTTGTTTTTTTTGTTGTCCTCCACAGTGTAATTATATGCTAAAGTGCTTTCCTCTGAAACAGTGATTTTTCTTTTACTCTAATTACCAAAATAAGTTATTGTAAGTTATAGCCCGCGTGTGACCGCAAGAAAAATAAGCAGTGCGATTGAATTGTGAAGGGAGAGGAGCACGCGCAGATGAAATATGGTAATAAGCTGCCGAGGCATGAGCGCTACTTCTGGTTAATGGCACAACACTGCAATATGGCCCTCCAGGGGAGAGAGAAATGAGTTTCTTCATCACCACAACTCCCCCATCTGAGAGAGGGAAGAGTCAAGCAGACAGACAGCATTAAAAAGCCAAGGAAAAGACAGAGCGCAGTGGCATATCCCTGCCTCCCATGCACATTATCCCTTCAACCAGAGGTGAGGGAATCAGTAGTGAGAGCATCATTTCCTTGACATATCAGAATAAAGAGCAACTGAAAGGGAACTAAAATACAGGAAAGAAAGGATGAAGCAACAGAGAGATGTTGGGGGTCGGTATAAATGCATCAACGCATGTCGGGGACCCCGGCCGACAGATCCCATCCCTCTCAGCATTGCATTACACACACAAATGTTATGCTGTTTGAAACCCATCAGCCAGCGCCTCGAAGATTCACGGCCGCCTCTCTTCCCCTCATGTCTCAGCAAGGGTCCAAACCAAATAACATATTTTTATTTTTTTCTCCTCTTCCCATCAAAGGCATTACTGATTCCGGAGCTATGCGAGTGGGCGTGACAGGCACCTGGCATCAATGTCCCAACACTGTACTGGAATGATATCACACAAATGGGCGGGCTGATTGGGCCCCTGAAGGGTGAATCCCGGAGAAGGCCACAGCGAGGTCACCATGACAGCACTATGCAAATACAGGAGACAAAGTTTCACCGTGGAATTGCAATCAGCCAGCCTGTGTTGATTAAAGTGACATATTTGTTTTTGTATGGGGATTCCAGCAAATGAAATGGCCTCATTAAACGGAGGTCTGTGTAGAGCTATCAGGGGAGAGGGAGTGATGGGGAAAAGAGACAGAGAGAGAGAACATTCCGTGTTCTTTAATGAAACATCTCAGCATAACACAGAAATGGTTTGAGTGGCAGGCTGCTTGTCAATTCAAATGTTCAGACAATTCCACTGGTGTGAATGAATGGGAGCCAATTTCCGCTTCAAATATACTGTTATGCTATTATATATTTTTCTTATTGTCAACCGATACAATCAAATCAATCCAAAATGAAGATATTTAACTAACTACTAATGTGTGTATCTTATTCCTCTGTAATATGCAATAGAGCTCCGTTGTTCAGCAGCCAAAAACTATTAAAACCACATTGATGAGCCTCTCTGAGTGACATGTTCCTTTATTACAGACTAATTAGACTCAATTCCATATACTGCATGCTGTATGCTGCCCTAAATATTCACTCGCGCACTAAACGTGAATTAATTCACGAGTGAAAATTCTGAACACATTTTTGTTTATTTTACTCATGTTGAGTACGATTTTCTTTAGATCTACAGTGCTCAGGGTTTTTAAGAAATTACAAAGCTTGTTTTAAAAGTGTACATTTACATTTTCCCATTGCACCCCCATAACACTGTCGGACAATTTGTAAGGAGTCAAAACATAGTATTTACATTACCCACAAGCCAACAACCGAGTTGACGGTTCAGCGATTTTGGTGATTTACACTCAAAGTATGCTAGAATAACCAGAATATACCACCAACCCCTAGTCTCACTTCCTTTGAATGTCACACCCAAAGATTTTTTATTTATTTTATAATTGTAGTCTTCAGCCCTAACCGAAGCTGACTCAAGTGACATCACTCAAGGCAATTGTCTTCCCGCAGCTCCATCAGGAGAAACAAAACACTTCTTTATGTACCTACTGTATGCTGTATTAGTTCCCAAATCTACACAGACTGTATTGTGTCAAATCGCCAGAGTTCCCCTTCAAAAATCAGCTTGGGGCTGAGCGCCACAGACAGGGAGGGGGATTCAGAAATGATTAAGTGATGACTAATGCAGGAATCAGACAACACAGACTGATAATGGCTCAACCCAACAGATGTGGTTCATTAGAAACTAAAAACAGCTTTAGGTGCATTCATAGATTGTTTATGCCTGTGCAGTGTGTCGTAATGCAAGACATCCAATGGGACCCGTCATGATGACTAAAAAAAAAGCTCAATGTGTCATAGTTTTAAAAAAGGCTGACAACAAGTTTTAGGAAGTTCAGCCATAGGATCACAGAGGACTACTTTGTGCAAAACTATAAACATGGCAAAACAAAAGTGGGATAATGTTTTTCCACTGTCTGGAACAGAGAAATGGGTCCCTGGAACATCTTAAGATCACCTGTGGGCATCATGCAAGCCATAAAGACATGCTATGACTGGTCTGGGAGTAACATATAGTCTGCCATGTCTAACGGAGAGAATTCATCACTTTATGGTGCTTTAATCCTGGCATAAGTCATTGTTGGTTTTGTTCTTTTTATGAGATTTGTTGACAATAAGAAAACATAACACCAGCCTTATCCTTTAATGTTCCCTCAGCCAGTGCCACCTTCCTGCATTTACTCAACAATTGACTAAACAGTGTTTTGATAATGTATTTGCTCCAATTTCAAGCTGAAATAAAAGTTAAGCACATGAAGATTACCGGTATACTTTAAAACTCACCAACTGCCCGGATTAAAGACACATTTGTGCCTACATCATTTCACCCTTTAATTGTGGCTTTTTCCTTCCTCCTTTTATTTACAGCGTTTTTTGCACACTGACTCATTTGCGTGCTTTGTTCCCCCCCCACCTACGGCAGCAGTCAAGTTGTGCATGAGTATATATAAAACTCCTCCAGTTTCACTCATAGTACGGCCTTATTTTCTACGAAGCCTTTTTCTGGAACATAGAGTTTATGTGATTTTACCAAAAAGCAAGTGATTACCAAATTGCCGGCACCTGTGAGTCACCACAGGAGGGTTTAAGGTGAATAACCGGCCAATCCCTCCTCTTCTCCAAAGTTGCCTAATATTGTTCAGTTCATTTTTAGATTTCTAGAATAAGCTAGTAGCGGTGTTTTTCTTGGAAAGGATAATTCAAGGTATTTTTCGGCCACGACTGTAATAGTGCATAATTATGCTGCAAATTGTTGGCATCATAGACAATCCTTTTCTCTTCTATTGCACTCAGAGGATAACACACACACTCAAATACACACACTAATCATGATAATAGCATTTGTTAGCGGGCCCAGCTAAAAGCTTCAGTGTTGACAAGAAAATGTTTCACAGGAGGTTTTTAAAAAATCAGGCTTTATTCACTTAACATTATAACAATTTTACAAGGTAATACAAATTCTATACACTGCCTATGTCCTCTACCCTAATAACACTTCTTGTACATGTTCTGCCAAAAGGCGCACGGTTGGGAGAGATGAAGGGAGTTCTCTATCACGAGCCTCGGCTGGCTAATCAAAAGATTTAGCAGAGCCCTGGAGTCAGATACTCAGCACCATGTTGCTGGTTGGAGTAGGGAAGTCTAATTATGTCCTGAGGATTGACCTCTCTCCAACTTTTTTCTTATTCCTCACAAACACACGGGCTATTTCTGCTTACTATCTGGGGTTAGAGGTGGTCCAGCCCGGCTTGTTTACCATCTCCAGATCCTCCGACAGCTCCGCTCTTAGCTCTTCACACAGGAGCCTTTTTGACCATCGAGGCCAGGCGACAGATAAGCTGGTAGACGCTCCATGTCCAGGCCTAACAACGCTGACCTTTTGTAAACACAGATAATCGGTGACTCATTTGGCCCTGAGTCCCAGGACCTCTGTTGTTTAGGAAGGTTATCTCCTTTTAAAGTGGAGTCTGGACCCTGCAGGCACGGGGACAGGATGGTAAGCTTTTGTGACCTTGTTAGCCTTTGTGTATGTAGAAACCTCAAAGCTTCCCCTGGTTAAAGGTTAACACTCTACATAATAAAACGGCTTTTGTAGTTGTTGACCTCTGGGAGCGTGGAACCCATCACCCGTGTAAGTGTACAAGTATGTAAAAGCATACATTTCACTCCACAAGCAAATCACAGGCTCAAATAAAATGCTCGTTCTGCGCTGTTTTTAGTTAAGCTTTGGCAGCAGGTCTTTGACCCCTGTAGCACTTTACAAAAGCCCAGATTGCAATCACCTGGAAATGTATCCAAAGCACATTCACTACATTTAAATGAAAGCAGGAAACCAGAATGCAGACTCAAACACTACTCTAATACTACACAAAGGAGATTTTCACATCCAATAAAACTGAAAGCAATTCTGGATGGTGGTGAGACAGCTCCAGAGAGATTGTATTTAATTTTATGAAAGAGGTTTGCTTTCTTTCTTTATAGTTTAATTGGCACCACCATTTCGAACCAAGTTTTAATTTTGTGGCTAATTTTCTATAAACATTACTGTTTGAAGTGTTGGTAACTAACTGCTACAACAGTATACTATGACAACCAGTATGTAGTTTATACTGTACAGAATTAGGCTTTGAGACATTCCATGAAACTTTTAGATGTAGACTTGATACAAGCTCTGGATATATTTAAATCAATCAATGTTTATTTATATAGCCCAATATCACAAATGTTACATTTGTCTCAGTGGACTTCACAGTTTGTACAAAATATCAGTATGACAATACGACACCTTCTGTCCTTAGACCTTCACATCGTACAAGGAAAAACTTCCGAAGAAAACCCACAGTTTAAAGGGAAAAATGGGAGAAACCTCAGGGAGAGCAACAGAGGAGGGATCCCTCTCCCAGGACAGACAGACGTGCAATAGATGCCGTGTGTAAATTGAAAAGATAATACATTTGCAACATAGGTAGTCCAAATGTTTGGAAATGCATGTGTGTATAATAGGAAGATGAATCCACGAGGATGTCCATCCAGGACCTATGATCCAGGACCACAGCCACGACTCAAGATCCAGGGCTCGCGATGCAGGACACAGGACCGCAGGATCATCCATGACTCCGGATCCCGGCGTATATAGACACCAAAAAGAAAGAAATTTGGGGAAGCTGGGTTAATCGGAACATGAGAGTACACAGGTATAGACAGAGAGAAGGAAGAAGTAAGATGTCCCCCGACAAACTAAGCCTATATCAGCAAAACTAGGGGCTGAATCTAATCAGCCCTAACTATAAGCTTTATCAAAAAGGAAGGTCTTAAGCGCACTCTTAAAAACGGATAGGGTGTCTGCCGCCCGAACACAAACTGGAAGCTGATTCCACAAATGTGGAGCTTGATAAGAAAAGGCTCTGGCTCCCATTGTACTTTTAGAGACTCTAGGAACAACCAACAACCCTGCATTCTTGGAACGCAATGCCCTAGTAGGACAGTAGGGTATAATGAGTTATTTAAGGTAAGATGGCGCCTGCCCATTAAGGGCTTTGTAGGGAGCCAGTGTAAGGCAGCCAGAACAGGAGTAATGTGGTCCCTTTTCCTAACTCTGGTTAGTACACGAGCTGCAGCATTTTGAATCAGCTGAAGCGACTTGACTGACTTCTTGGTACACCCTGATAATAAAGAGTTACAATAATCCAGCCTAGAAGTAACAAATGAATGGACTAGTTTCTCTGCATCGTTTTGAGGCAAGATATGCCTGATTTTTGCAATGTTATGTAGATGGAAGAAGGCGGTCCTTGAAATTGATTTTATGTGGGCGTTAAAGGATAAATCCTGATCAAATATAACACCAAGATTCCTTACAGTCTCACTGGAGGCCAAATTAATGCCATCCATAGTTAGTATATCTTTAGATAATTTGTTTCGTAGATTCTTCGGGCCAAGTACAATAACTTCATCAAAAAGTTTAAGGTCATCCACGTTTTTAAGTCCTTGAGGCAGTCTTGAATTTTATTTGGATGATTAATTTCATCAGGCTTGATTGATAAATATAGTTGAGTATCATCCGCATAACAATGAAAATGTACAGAATGATTCCTTATAATATTGCCTAACGGAAGCATATATAATGTGAACAAAATAGGTCCGAGCACTGAGCCCTGTGGCACTCCATGGCTAACTTTGGTTTGCGTGGAAGATTCATCGTTGACACGTACAAACAGAGCGTTCAGATAGATAGGACCTAAACCAGCCTAAAGCAGTTCCCTGTATGCCAACTAAGTGCTCTAGTTTTTGCAATAAGATATCATGATCGATAGTATCAAATGCAGCACTGAGATCGAGCAAAACAAGAATAGAGACAAGTCCCTTGTCAGAGGCTATTAGAATGTCATTTGTGACTTTAACCAGAGCTGTCTCTGTGCTATGATGTGTTCTAAAGCCAGACT